AAATATTGCAATGTAAATTTATAATGCTCTGTTTGTTGTGGTAGTGTAGAAAGGTTTTGATCAATTCAGTTTTAATTTCAAGTCTTTAAAATACAGTAATTTATGTATTTTTAAAGCAGATTGCCTAGAACATAATTAGTGATTAGGTAACTATTGTAAAGAGAGCACAGTTCTTAGCTGCAAAATTGAGAGCTAAGGTATTTTGAATGTTATAATAGTCAGTGCATTTACATCCAGTCAGTACCTCAATGGACCTTTTAAGAATTGCAGATCGTTGAAAAACAAAACAGATTACAAGATATACAATATTCCACAGTAAATGGAAAAAGATTAACAACCTCCAGCCAAGAGAGGAAAACTGTCTACCTGATGGAGGTGTTTTCATCCAAATCTGTCATGTTGAAGGAAAGACTTTGGAGGAAAGCAAACAGGTGAACTACAAGGTGCAAACCAGCCACCATGAGTTTAAAAAGGCCAGAAGGCACTCCAGGGGGGAAAACTTAAAAGCTTGAGCTGATCTCAAACAGAATGATGAACCAGGGTCACCTAAAGCACCAGTTCAGTGTGTGAAATGGGGGTTCTGTGAAATGTTTATGAACAAATATCTTACCTGTTGTAGATAGTTTTCGGTGTGACCCCAGTTTAGAGAAATACTTTAAATCTTACGGGTTGATGAGCTAATGGTTACCCTGAGTGAGATCAAAACTAAATTTAATTTTTGCCATCTTAAAACAACTCCAGTTATAGCAGTTACACAAACACCATTTTATAAACCATCACATTTGCTGTTAATTTTGTGTTACATTGTTATTCAAATTGGGTTTTTTATTCATGTTACCTGCTGCTGTTGCTATTTGTAACCATAGAAATTTATTTAAAAAATAGTTAAAAGTAATGGTTATGTAATGAATTAGAAAAGAGTGTTTATGTGAACCTCTAAAAATAAATTTGAAATTAAAGTTATTTTAAGATGGCATTAATCCTCATCAGTCTCTGCCCTGCTTGGACTAGTCTTTAGCTTGTCAGCCCAAACACAATTAAACTTCTTTACCCCCAAACTGAAATTGTATTAACAGCAATATCAACAACAGGTAAGATATTGAATGTGCATAACCTTTTCACAGAACCTCACTTAAAAATGTGTTTTTCTGTTTGCAGTTATCATGGCAGAGAAGAGGTTAGAATATGGCCTCACCGCGAGAACTTTTCATGTTCTACCCGTGTTGGGGTTTTCTCCTGTTGCTCTGATTTCCTTCTACAGACCAAAATCGTGTATGTTGGACTAACTGGTAACTCTAAATTGTCCCTAGGTGTGAATGAGAGTTTGACTGGTTGTTTGTGTCCCTATGATGTACTGGCAGTCTGTCCAGGGTGTACTGCCCCTTGTCCAACAACTGCTGGAGATGGGAACCAGTTCACTGCGACCTTGCACAGAAAAGTGTGTAAACAATGGACTGATGGCTACATGTGTAATAACATTATGTCCACCATAGCTAACTGACTGTAAACACAAAAATAGCTACAACTCGTTTGGTTTTTTAGATGTCTGTCTGTCTATCCATCCATCCACTTATTCGGGGTCAGGTCACGGGGGCAGCAGCCTAAGCAGAGAAACCCAGACTTCCCTCTCTCCAGCTACTTGGGCCAGCTCTTGTAATCCCAAGTCCAGCTGAGAAACAATCCCTCCAGTGTGTCCTGGGTCTTCCACTAGGTCTCCTCCCAGTGGGACATGCCCGGAACACCTCACCAGGGAGGCGTCCAGGATCATCCTAACCAGATGCCCGAGCCACCTCAACTATCTTTTTAAAATAATGAGGTAGAATTTGGTGAGGCAGTAGCTGTTAGTCTTTCACAGCACATAAATCTATGTATGTACTATCTTTGTTGAGTGGTTCTGTTTTTCTGATCTTATTTGTGCAACAACCAAACAAATATGGACAAGTAAAAAAAAACAAGAACATCAAAAATTAACCAAGTTGACTGATTCTGGATGGTATGAAACATACAGTAGTCCTTGATGATGTCCATGGCATCCTGACTCAAGGTTTCCTCAAAATGTTTCTTCAAGTACTGGAAAGTAGTCTGTCATTTTTCATCACATTCATTAGTCACAAATTGAAAAACTTTAACATTTTTCAAAGCTGTATTTTGTAAAGTCTTCCAGTTGGATGTGAATGTTAAAACTAAGAATCTGTTCTTTTGGGTCATATTAACATGTAAGATCCATCCATCAACATCCATTGATGGATTCAAACATTTCTAGACTAAACTGATGTAAACTGGTAAATCCAGTTCAGGACCTGATTGTTCAGGACCTACAGAATGTTGAATTGTACAGCTGTATTTCCTACAAGCAAACTGATCTGATAGATTTTATGAATAATTTGACTGTTTAGTGTGCAGCTCATGGCCTCTTTATAAATTCATTTTAAAGTGTGTGTGTGTGTGTGTGTGTGTGTGTGTGTGTGTGTGTGTGTGTGTGTGTGTG